AGAGCTGGTTGATATGAACAGGTATGGGCCAAATGGAAAGAGGGGAATTGGGAAGAGACTTTGGATCCTGTCATACGCCATTCATCGCCATTTCCGAGTGAACAAGTCCGAAGATGCATAGAAATTGGTCTCTTGTGTGTGCAACAAGTTGAAGAGGACGGACCAAACATGACCTTGGTGGAGACGATGCTCGCAAGCCAAAGTTATGAGATTCGGCATCCGCAACAACCAGGTTTTTTCATGGGTCAAGGTCAGTTTCAGGATCAGATTCCTTCGTCTTCCAGTACGTATGGCGAATGTTCGATGTACAGGGCCAACTTATTCACCAACTCCGCCTTAACCATGCCGCGATAACTAGTACCGAGGGTTATCTCTTTTCCATTATTTCTTGCATCCTACGTTTGTATTTCTTAAGCTTAAACCCCTTTTTCCCTTCTATTCACACTATTTTCCGGATGTTTAAAAAAATATATATTTTTAAAATGTTCCAAAAATACCACAAAAATAAAACCTAACTTTAAACCCATGGTTAATTAAACTTTTGGATCAAGACATCAAAGTAGGAAGTTAATTAAACCCAGGCTGATATTTTGCGATATTCAACGTAATTTTGCGATATATTTTTGGGTTGGCTGAATTTTTGAATCTAGTTCAATTTGGGGAAATCTTTATAAAGAACAAATAGTTTATACAAAATTGCTGAATCTTGAGAAGTTTTTAATATGTATTGCCATTTACAACCTGTGTATTATCATCTCCCCCATTTTTTCTCAATTATGTCCATCAACATAAATTCAAATGCAGTCAAATTATAGATGTCTATTATCGGTATTTTAAAATATGTTAGACGACTAATTTTATCCTTAGATTTTGTTTTCGATGTTTTTACAGTCGAACAATCGTTGATATATCACCTAAAGTTTTCATATAATATTTGTGTAAATTTAGAGAGATTCTAAGTAAAATTTAACTAAAATAGTGTAAATTATGTGGTCCACCAATTTTTTTTT